GGAACGCGTCACTACACATCAACTTTCTTGATTATGAGAAACGATTTGATAGTGTGGATAGGAGAACCTTATGGAACCATCTTCGAATCTAAAGAGTGAGTAGTTGACAAGATCGTCAACATCATGCGTAATTCACACGACAGACCACACTGCAGGGTGATGAATGGAGGACAGTAGACAGATGCGTTCAAGTGAGGATCGGAGTCAGATAAGACTGCTTATTATCTCCCTTTCTTTTTCTTCTGCTGGTCGATTGAATTATAAAGACCTCCACATCTCAGGAAAGCACGCAATACAATTGACAGCTTGGATGAAGCTAGACGATTTGAACTTCGAAAATGATCAGGCTCTTTTCTCGTATACAAGCAATAATTGATATGAAGACAGACAATGTATCAGTAGCCTCTGCAGCAGTAGGTCTCAACATCAGAAAAAAGGAGAAAGCAAAATCCTCGAATATAACATGGTGAACACCTACGTAGTCACACTTGATAGAGAAACTCTGGAAGACATAAAAAGTTTCATTTATCTGGGTAACATTATCGATGAACAAGAAGGATCCGATGCAAATATGAGGGCATGGATTGGCAAAGCAAGAGCAGAATTCCTATATGTGAAGGGCATGTGGAACTCAAAACAACCATTTAGAATCCAATATCAAAGTCAGAATCTTCAATATGAACAGTTCTGCTATACGGAGCTGTAACTTGGAAAAATACTACAACCATCAAAATGTTCAAATATTTATGGACAGTTGTCTACACGAGAATCCTGGTAGGCGACCTGTGATCCCACGAGAGGTAACAGGAGTTTGTGAGAAATATAACTACGTCTATTGTACAACCATACAACGTTTGAAATACAAACAAGGACTTAATTTAACTATCGTTTCACAATCCTGCATTCTTCTATACTTGTGTGAACTTGAGCCAGTACTATTTTTGATAATAGTATGAGAAAACTCCCTGAATGATTTGATATAGGTTTTTGTTACTAATAGTTTATGGATTAAGTTTATCAAACATTATTAGAAAGCCTAAACATTTCATGGAACTTTAGACCACCCTACAATTGTTATGTGATAGTTTACTATACCTATATACAAAAACAATTAACGAAAACATAACTCAAGCATTAAATAAGCACTTTATACGTTTGTACAGTCCTAGCAGTTCTTATTAAAGTACTATTAAGACAAAATTAAAAGTTCATTTTAACACTATTTATCTTAACTTACTAATAATAATTACAATAATTAGAAAGGTAAATGTATAAGAATTTTACCCAATAAATAAACATTTCAACTAATGAAACTATTAATAAAATGATAAATGTTTCTATTCTTAAACTATTTAACCAATGAATAAAGCATAATATACAAATATTTATTGTATTATCTTAATAAATTTTCAACATTAATAGGTAAAGTTTTCTATTGATCAATTAATAGTACAATACAAGAAATAACCGATCATATTTTAACTAATAGACCTTCTTCTTTGGGATTTTATACATATAACTAAACTATACAATAATTGATTAAGCAAATGTTTCAAAGGATTATGAATAAAAACATTATTATTTATGATAAAAGGATACTTATTAATAAACATTTTTAGAAATGTCTTGAAAAAAACCAAACAAAGCAAAGATGTTGATTATGAAAAAATAGTGTCATTTGCAAAAATATACTTATCAATGGTACAGCTTTAAAGAGTCAGTCAGCTAAAACGTAGGATCAGGCACATATATGCATAGGTCCAAGTTGCCATACCTCATTAACACAACAAGATGAACACTGGATTCATAAAAGTAGTTAATTCAAAGGTGGTGATATATAAAAGAAAGATCACAATAAAGATATGGTACAGAAAGAGAGAATTAGTTTAAGGAAAGACAGAGAGTGTATACACCGACGCCATTGTGATCGATTCTGAACAATGTCACCAAGAGTCTCCAACCATTAGTTACGATAGTCACGCGGACCCCAACCAAATAGTCTGCACCTACCAATATGGCTCAGACTAGAAGTTAGTGACTTCACGGTCTGATGCCACGTTTTGGTTTGGCCGCCTTTAACTTTCTTCCAACCATCTCCAACACCGGTTAGCATTGCATGTCGTGTTAATCGGTGTTCAGGCATACGTAACACGTGGCCCAATCATCTTAGTCGATGAAAAATCCCAACCTCATCAACTGATTTACCATCATTCCCTGATAGCCTGTGTCTAACCTCATTATTACTTACCCGGTGATCCCAGGTTTAAAGATGATAGCTCTGAAAAGTTAACTCCTAGTTAAAGTAAGTATTTAATCATCTAGCTGTTTAAATGAGTCTTTTGTTATCATCACTAGTTCAAAACAAAAACATACATATTATATCTGTTAAGCTATAATAAGAGAGAATAAGAAAATTCAAATTGTAATATAAATAAATGTTATTAAAGTTTGATAATGCAATTTACAAAGTAGACAAAATTGACCTTGATATTTTTCTGGGATTGTTTTTTATTCCTATAAATTTCCGTATTAAAACAAACTTTTTCAACTTAGTGAAGTTCATTAGTTATAAGAAAAAAAGATAATAAATGTATACAACTAATCAGTATTTCTTATTTATATCAATCACGTAAGGCAAAAATCTACCAGAAGTATATACAAACGTACTTATCTAATGAAAATAGGTAACTTAGTTAGATGACTACATTATCATGTTACTAAAAACAGGAAAACATATTACCGATAATACAACATATTGGGACTTATTTATATAAGAAGTGATGCTTCATCAATTTAGATGTAAAATATGTAAGTAATAGAAAAGATGTAAGGCTTTTATCAGAATAACAGTAATGTATGCATAAGCAAACAGTTAAAAGGAAAAACAGTATGAAAACCACGTTGTATGAAATGCCTATATACATCAACTGGTTACTAAATATTAATCAATTTTACACTGTCTAGTCCTTAATATTTAATAAGTTATACAAATAAAATTATAGTACGAGTACTAGCCTTGATATATTGGTGCACTTTGTCTTGATGTTAAATCGGCTGAAATTAATTGACTGGAAATCCTTAACTTATATTTTGTTCCGTATGACATTTTTCAGCAGGTAATACATGACGTTTTGTTAAAAACTAGTATTTTCCAAAAAATTCGTACTGTTATCATTCTCTAGTACATTAAATCAATTGTAACTCGACGATAATATTTGCTTAGTGCTAAGAACTAAAAAAACAACACCGGTTACTACTTTGTAAATAACACCAATTTCACCCACATTGAAATACTTCATTTTTTAACTTCATCATACACTTTAATAAATTGTCTTTATTTTAATGTTACGTTTCACTTAGGTCAACTACTTCAGAAAAAAAAAAAGAGACTAGTACAGTTTACAATTTGACTTTGATCTCCACAACCACTTGTTTGTGTATAGTTTAGTGTTACCGAATTTTCAAGAATTAAATTTGCTCAAGTATCAAAATGAGTCTGATAAGTCGTTTCTAAATAAAATAAGATTATATATATATTTCGGTTATTACATCAAAACACATTGTCAGAATCTAAATCATGTTTAAATCATTATGTTCTATAGCACAGACTTGTGTACATGTGCTACTGAACAACACACACTGTAATATTTTGTGTATTTCAATTAAATGTCAAGTTCACTAAAGTGAAATGTTTCAATTCAATTGAAGAAAGAAATGAAATTAGTACATATGTTATGTGTATTACTATTAATTAAAAGAAACATTCAGAATTTATTTTTTTTGTTTGTTAGTGCATACGCGATTAAACGAAAATATACGTCAATATTAAGATTGAGAGGTATTACTGATTATCTATAGTATACAATGAATGTAAATAATAATTGATTTGTACAACCTGTTCTTATTAAACATTAAATTCAAATTACTGAGGAATTTCAAACAAATTAACATGTATTTAACTTTGGTATAAGTTAAATTAATATTGTGGTTAACAAACTGACATGATTTGCCATCCATTCAGGCACCATGGATGATTCAAAATCTAACCAACTCAATAAGACAATAGAAGAATACAAGAAGATATAACAAGCCGCATGGCCTACTTTTAAATGAATAATATTTACTTCTCATCTGTACTCATTGGAAGACACACTGACCTTGATATAGACATCTAAGTGATGATGTTGTGTAACGAAAAATTCTGCCAATAATAGTAACTCACACATAGATATACTTGACTGATTCATTTGGTTTGCTCTACCGAACTCAGAAATTTCACTGATATCGAGTAGCAATCATGAAATACTGTATGACAGTGTTAGACAGGAAAAGCTTTGTTGAACAACAACTATCAACCACAATTTCAAAAAAGTAGTATTAATGAGAAGCTGACATCTTGATCTTAGACAATTCTGCCAATAAATCTTCAGTAATTCGAATGTTTTCAAACATCACACTGAAATTGGTAAATAAAAAATTATCCCAATTGATCTATCTCCCACTAGTTCACTCTTCGGAGTTATCGAACTGAATCGCATTGGTATGGAGACAGTGTATACAAAATCTGATTGCTTCTTTTACACTCAGTATATCGGAGACAAAGTACTATTTCCGTTAAATGTTTCCGAAATATACTATAGTTAGTTTTCAAAGTAAGCAGTAAGTGTTCGTTTATCGAGTACCGCTGACGATTTGTTGACAATGCTATAATTGAAATTTGGTAAAAATAAACTTCCAATCCTCTTTGTCAACCCTAAGTAATATCTACTTTTGTTCTTTGAATACTGTTGATAAATGTATTTCTTTAAAACAATAGTGGAAAGAATTAATTCTATCAACAACAATAACAAACAAAAGATTTCAATGAAAAAAATTTACACTAAATAGTTTACTCTTAAAACTAATTATTATACATTAGGTTAACAACTACGATGAACTTTCGTTGCCAACAAACGATTTTCTATCATTAATTTTTTTTTAAAATTACTCATAATACTCACCAATTCGACCCGTTTTTGATAATTGGATAATATTGATGTAATTTGTTTAAAAAGATGTTCAATAGAATTATTCCTCAATGTGTTAAATCCTGGATTTTTAGTATTGATACCATTCTTCACAATATTATTGATATTTTTATGAGTGTTGACTGAAGTAGTAACAGTAGTATTGTCATTGCGCAATTTAGTCAATCCAATAGCTCTAATCAATAAACTTAACAAACATGCTGATCTCCATGGTTCTAATATTGAATCGGTTTCGATATCCCATAAACCTAATGCATCTAAACTTATTAATTTCTGTGAAATGGATGATGACAGAGAAGAAGTTGACACCGAAGTTGATAATGTTGAATCAGAAATTTTCAATGGAACTAGCAATGGCTCAATTATCCATTCCAATTCATTTAATGCTGGAATTGCTTTGTATTGTTTCATATCTTCAAGTACAGAGGATGAATAAACACTCAAACTGTCGTGTTCTGATGAACGCGGAGTGATATCATTATCATTGGATACATTTGTCTTGATATTTTTCACATTTCTGTTTACTTCCATATTATTAATACTACCAGTATCATTTTTTGTAAATGAAAGTTCTAATTTATGGTCAGGTATACACCTTGGATCTTTAAATAAATAAACATAACCACGTTTACGTGAACCAAAAAAGACGAGATCACCAGGAAGAAGTTGTTGTCTTTGGAATTTTAATGAACAAGATGGTTTGACCAAGTTATCATTAACATAAATTTCAATATTATCTTGTATACGATGAGAACTATTAGGTGTCATTGAACCACTAGAACTAACAGTAGGATCCATACCCTGATCCCATGGTTCAAGAAATACTAAACTTTCCTTAGATGAATTATTTGATGTATTCAGTACATTATAACCTACAACTTTTGCAATAATACAATCCCCTTCAGATGAATTCATTTCAGATGGCGTAGGATATAGCCGAATATCAACGTGTTTCCCATAACCAATAGTCATATATGACTGCATTGCATTATCAATGATTAACTTGGTAACATCATGCAAAAGAACATCACGATCTGGTTGATTACCACGTAATAAAAGGAAATAAGGTCCATGTGGAATTTGTAGTCCTCTAAATGCGCGACCTCGTCGAGAATCTTTGAAGTTTGTAATTCCATTTACAGGTGTACAAGATCTTGATGAATTTAATGTAGTTTGAGAAGTTGAAACAGAACCTCGTAAACTAGCCTGTGAACCATTTATACTTCTACTTCCTTTCATAAACATGGATCCAGATGTACTATAGTCACTGTTTACGGGTCTGAGTTCTAATCTCCGGCATAATCCGTAACCTGGAATGGTGTTTTGTAATAATGAGATAATATTTTCATTTAAATCTATTTGACGAGTATTACGTTCAGTGAAAGACCAAATCGGTGTAGCTGATAAATGAGGGGATGGAACTGGTTGAATATGTCCAATAATTTCATATAAACAAAAATCATCACGTGTCCCATATTTTAAATAATAAGTGTCAACTAACTCTTTAACAACTGATCCTGCCGTTGTTGAACCATTAATTCTTATAGTTTTAAAATGATCTCCTTCACGTACTTTTTCACAAAATATTTTAAGAAAATGCTTTTTAAAGCCATCATTCGTTATTATTTGTTCCCAGGATAAATCCTTTGGATATGAAAAAATTTCATTGTCTTTATTATTACTATTATCATATCTAATGTTGCTACTACTATGATTATTCCATACAGCAGATGATGATATGTTTTGACGCGATTTCGATGCTGAACGAGACGTGCGAAAAATCGACCTTTTCTTTTTTTCTGAGTTTCGCTCGTTAGTTAAAGTATTACCACGGGGAATTTGGGAGTTCGAGCCAAGGTTTGCAACTCTGTTTAACATGATTAAAAGACTAATCCATTAAATCAATCAATTAATAGTTTTGGAATCATTGATCGTATAATATGTGCGGGATTTTCGAACATCGTCCCTTGATTTTGATAAAATTCCTCATGTACACGCTGTTTTATGCATATGTTTGTTATAAATTTCAATAAATCAGGCGTTAACCAAATTGTCCAAATATTTATGTGCGTTATTTTAGTCAAGATGTGATTAAACAATACAAATGGTTCATCCTACGCATTAACATATTTATTTTCAATATGTATGTATGGTCTTAGGTGTTGTTCTCTCATTGGCTAACAACACAACAACAAGAATCGATTTCGTTCATAGTCTGTCTGTACTTACTACTCATAAAACTATACTCCCTTAAGAAACACATATGCATATGTCTAGTCACTAATTTCTATTTCATTTAATTAAGTAATTATCTATTCTAAAAGGTCACAATTAAATATTTGCTCATTTTAATTTGGAAAGATTATTCTGTTTTAGGATAGTTGTTGTTACTGCCACAAAATTCATATACATGAAACCATAATCAACTAAGTGGTTCATTTGACAAAAAAATGTCCCAGTCCTTAATCTTTACTACTTAAACATTTACACTGTTCTAGTCATGGTCAATATACTGAAAATAGTTTGCTATTTATAACTACTTGTACGTCGGAGTTGTTAATGAAAATAGAGAAAAAAATTAGAAATCTCACTGTGTCAATCACAGAAACTCTTAAAATTTAATCAGCCAAAAAAGCTTTATTCCACTAAGCCAGAAATCTGACATTTTGATAGCTTACTCGAATACGGATAGAAAACAATGGTAATTAGTTATGGGAATGTTAGGGATAAAAGTAATCCACATCTTCCACACCAAACAAGTCCTCAATGCATATAATCGTTGTAGCGAAAATACAGAAGGTTTAGGAACTTTTAGATAGTTAGGTTCGAACCATCAAGTGTAATTCTAGATTTCGATTTCAGTATTTCGATAATATACGTTTAGGTGGTGAATGTTAATATGTGGATCTAGCGATCGACATTTCACAAAAGCAAAAATTAATCGCACTTACTTGACACAAATATCAAAATAAGTTTACCAAATGAAAACACAGAATTAGAATTACCTAAGTTGATCAGTTTTTTTATTCTAAATGCAATACGCATCCAACATATACAAACTGTCTCATACGTGTATTGATGTCACTTTATTGTTTTAATAAATACGAATTCAATCACAAAACTTAATTTCTGTAATCATGATGCTGGTTTTGAATAATGGGAAAGTAAGTTTATTGTCTTACAAATCCTATTTAGCAGAATATCTTATGGAAAGAATTCCCACTAAAAACGGTTGTGCTGAAAAATCCACAAATACATTTTTCTTATATTTTTAGAATAACCGCATACGAAAAGACTAATTTTATTAGTGCAGTTGAAAACTATTGTCTACATTAATAGTAAAGTCGTTTGCAAATCATTTTTTGCATACTTCAACTAGAGAACGATTGAAAGTCATTTTTCGTCAGATATCAGTTTTGTCCTACATTACGAATTCTCAACAATCCTTACTCTTTGCTTAACTAAGGTTCTGATGAAGAAAAGGAGGGAAAATTATATTTAAAATTAACAGTTTCAATCTACATCAGATTAACTACAAAGTTTTGAATGTCAAGTCAACTAATATGAATTAAATAGATTAAACCAATATAAGTTATTTAAAAAAATTATTTATTTGAAAGTTAATTTTAATCGCTTAATTAAATCCTTATGCTGGGATAAATTACATAACAGAATGTTCTGTATAAAAGACCCTTTCATAGACACATTTAAATGATCTACAGGATATACTCATAGAACAATCAACACAAGGATTCTTTTAGTCACTTGTTTTATAGATCCTAATATATGTGGTGTAACTATCATTTTTTGTATATAACCTAAATATCTGCAACCCAAAATATAGCTTATTAAACAAATTAAAAGGAAATAACAATTGTTCGCTGCATCTATGCTTACTGCTCCTCTGAAAATGCATTGAATGGTCTAGCACCTGTAAGTGTATCTCATTCCACAAGTAGTATTATAGGGTCTTTAAATGTTTAGCCATTTTTATTAGTTTATTCCCTAAGTAAAACCATCTACTTGCTGTCACTTTATTTTAACACCGTCCCTAGCAAATTTAACTAATTTGAATAACATCTAACATCGACAGTATATCACTGTGTCATATGACACATGCATTTTGGTAGACCTGATTGACGTATTTTGGTAATTACTGCTCTGTTGTTCCGTGCTCTCTGTTTTCGTTTTAATTTCTCTAGTTGTAGATAATTATCATTAATTCGATGTGGCACACGAAATGACCTTAATTACATCGTTCATAAATCAACAGGCTGTCCATTTAAGAAATATTAAAAATTCCCGGCTGATGAATTGGATCACTGTAATACAGGTACTACCTAAACAACTACTGAACTAGTATACTTAAAACTTTCTTCTATCACATGTTAGTTCTGTACATCTAATGTTACTATTTATATCAAATTGATCATGCCAGTAAACTGGCATGAATTCTGTAATTATTATTTTCCGAATATATAAATTATTATTATTATTTATTATTATTATACTTGAAAAAAATTATTTATGTAAATATTTAATTCATTGAATAAAACAGATTGAAATATAAGATTCAAATTATAAGATTAATGTAGATAAAAATTACTTAAAAGCTTACTCAACTAATAATGTATAATAATTTTATTGAGTTTTTTACTTGAAAATTCGTATAGCGAAAGAGAAAGATGAAAATAATGTTTTTAAAAAAGTCGTTTTATGTAACACCATGTAATATCAAAATAGTATGACTTCAATTAACTTTATTCGATATACAGTTATATATATATGTATAATATCAGATGGGTTTTTTGTGGAGATTGTAGTAATTTCAATAGTTAAGATCATGAGTCATTTGAAGCTCAGTGGTTAAGTGCTCGCACGCGAAACCAGTAGGTCCTGGGTTCGAACCACGCAGGGGGTGAGGTCGTGGATGCGAACTGCTGAGGAGTACCACAATAGGACGAAACGGCTGTCCAGTGCTTCCAGGTTTTCCATGGTCGTCTAGCTTCAGCTGACTCATAATCTTAACCAATGAAATATATATATTTAAGTTAAATTCTACAAAACAAAAAGTTGACATTCAAAGGACAAGTATATTAATGGATATTGAGGACAATAAATCATTGGTATTGCAATGTAAGATATTATACTACTTGTGAGTAGAGAAAATATATCATAGTTAAGTTTCAAAATATAATTCCATTTTAACATGGTCTAAAGAATAAACAATTCTCAAAATTAATTTCATAAATATTAACATTTTAAGATTATTAATTATGCACAATAATAAAGTAATGACTAATGTATAGGTTTTATAACAGTTTACTGCTCGACAGTCAGAGAAGATATATTTCCCTTTATTGTTTTCTGAAAGCTTAAATCAACTGTGGGCAAATGAATATACGTTGTTGATGTATGCCATAGATAAGTCAGGATAATGTAGAATACTACTAAATCTAGTTTATAAAGAACTTGAATATGAAACAGGACAATACCTCTCTATGACAACATCAAGGTAAACTTCTACAAATTTATTAGGTATGCATGTTACATAGTCAAAATTAGTGAAATTAGGAAAACTTCTAAGGATCTAATCAACACCATATCGTAGTTTATGCAAATATATAAGCTCTAAAACATTTGCCAGTAAACATCGTAAATGTTGGCAGGTTTCACAACCACTGAATCTGCAAAGTTTAAGAAGATACTGTACAAGCGTTTCTACTGAAGTAAACCTCTATGAAGGACATTATTTTCACTTTATCGTGGAGGGAAGTCTTTTTGAGAAAGACAGTAATGTCATCCCCTGTAGCAGCGAGATCTTAAGGTGAAAAACTAAACGATACAAGTACTCAGTTGGTTTAAGACAAAATACTGCAAGTTAGAAACAGGGCTTTAAATAGAGAAACAGATTAGTCGATTCAAGGTTCAGAGGTAATTAAGCATAATTCTATGGACTGTAAATCATTCATACGTAAAGAAGTAGATGGATACAACATAAACTTACTCAATACATATTAAAGAAAAATATAGTGGAAGTGGTAGTACTATATAAAAGAAAGATTGCATATAAGGATATAATAAAGGAAGGAAGAATTAGTTCGTAGAAAGAAAGATATGGAGTGATTTTATTCTCTTAGTTTAAGGGAAGGCAGAGAGTGTATACACCGACACCATTGTGATCGATTCTGAGCCATGTCATCAAGAGTCTCCAACCATTGGTTACGATAGTCACGTGGACCCCGACAAAATAGTCTACATCTCCCAACATGGCTCAGACTAGAAGTTAATGACTTCAAGCATTGATACCACGTTTTGGTTTGGCCGCCTTTAGCTTTCAACCATCTCCAACACCGGTTAGCATTGCACGTCGTGGTAATCGGTGTCCAGGCATACGTAACACGTGGCCCAAGCATCTCAGTCGATGAAGAATCACAACCTCATCAACTGATTTACCATCAATCCATGATAGCCTGTGTCTAACCTAACTATTACTTACCCAGTGATACCAGCAGATGCGACCAATATTTCTAAGACATTTGTGGTCGAACACTAGTAGCTTATGAGTGTCTTCTGCTCTTAATGGCCATATTTCGCAGCCGTAAAGTAGAACAGAACGAACTAATGCACAGTATACTCGTCCTTTTATTGATAGACGGATATCTCTCCTTCGCCATAGGTGACGTAAGTTGGCAAAGATGAAACGAGTTTTTTTGAGTCTGTGAAGAGATTTCGTCAGACACCAACCCATTAGGACTGATCATACTTCCAAGATAAGTGAAGTTGTCGAAGCGTTCGACTACTTCACTCCCTATCCTTAGTTGACGCAGACCAGTCCTGAAGCAACAACTTGCATTTAGAGGGAGAGAAGCTCATACCAAACATTCTGGCATTGATGCTCAGTGCTACCAAAAGACTCTGCATTTTGTCAGCGTCTTCACCAAACAGGAATATGTCATCTGCGTATTCTAATTCGATAAGTGGACATCCTGGAAGGAGATGAATACCCGAGAATCCAGTCGACGAGAATGTTATTTCCATCAGTAAGTCTATGATGAAGTTAAACAAAAATGGAGTAAGTGGACAGTCTTGACGGATACCACTTGAGTTTGCAAAAGCAGATGA